GAAGTTATGTGAAGAAACATCTCAAAGTATTTATAAGATACAGCCTTTTATCTCTGGAAACCCCAGAAAGTATTTGCAGATCGGTTTTGAGAATCAAATTAGCTTGGCACATTGGCAGGTTTCTAGAGGCGTGGACATTTCTGTAAGTGGTTTCTGGCCCCTTAATCCTTTTGATCATTTGCACTGTGTATTTTTACCCAGGCTTCTCTACTTTGGAGAAATAAAATAAAGAAACTTAAAGGTGAATTTGACGAAGGCTTCTCTACACTGTTTGTTAATGCAGATGGATCTTGAATTTTAATGGCAATAGTTTCTTTTAAACAACCAAGCTTTTTAAGACCATCCCACAAATAGTGTCAGTGCTCCAGCGAGGGGCAGTCCATCCCGACCCCTTCCTGCCACCACAGAAGAAGAACCTAGTCTTGGAAAATGGTCTTGATAGTTGGGGTGTTGGTTACCCCTCAGCTGTGATATTTCATCTGAGCCGCTGCCCATGTAACACTTTCTGTCACCTGGTGACTTCAGGTGTGTACTGCCTTCCTGAGCCTGGTTCAGGGTCATAGACTGAGCCCCAAGCTTCAGCTCCCGTTAAAACCTCGCTGGCTCTTCACTGGCTCTAGTCTCTTACTGGCTGTGGCACGTTGTGTGAGGAAACCTGTGGGAGGTCCTGGTGGGGACCTATGGGGACTCTGTCTCCCTCGTGAAGTTGTTGTGAGCAGTATTTGTGTGTGCACGTTCATAGCAGTACTATTCCCAATGGCCGAAAGATGGAAGCAACCCCAGCGTCCACCAATGGGTGAATGAACCAGATGAGGTGTGCACATACAATGGAGCATTATTTAGCCTTTAAAAGGGAAGGAAATTCTGACACATGCTTCCACCTGAACGAGCCTTGAGGCCATTATGCTAAGTCAGTGATTTTCTTTTATTATTTATTTTTTTATTTTTTAACAATTTTATTTAGTTATTTTTCAAGTACAGTTTTTTTTTGTCTATTTCTCCCATCCCAGCCTCCCCCGTCCCTTGCTCCCCACCTCCCTCCCATTTCCACCCCCCTTAGTTCTTGTCCCTGTGTCCTTCCTATTTGTTCCTCCAAATCCCTCCCCCCCCCATAAGTCAGTGATTTTCAACCGGAGTGCTACAAGATTTTTAAAACGTGGAATACCTGACTGCTTAGTCAGGGGCACCGACCTCCTTTCTCTGAGCACATGTCAAATAAAAAAATGACAGCAACCAATACAACAATAGCCAACCAGTTTGAATGAATCAGAATTATACCCACACACCACTTTTTTTGTGGATCAACAAAAAAATATGATGTATTTTTGGTATGCCCCAGAATTTAAGTAATTAGTTTATGTGTGCCATGAGATGAAAAAGATTGAAAATCACCGAGCTAAGTGAAATAAATCCATCACCCCTCTCCCCCCCAAAATGCTGCCTGATCCCACTTAAATGAAATACCAAGGGTAGTCAAATTCAAGAGACAGAAGTAGACTGGTGGTTGCCTGGGGCTGGAGGGTGGGGAGGGACATGGGGAGTTAGTTTAATGGATCCAGTTTCAGTCTCCCAACCTGAAAAAACGTTTTGGGGATGGACGGTGGTGATATTGCACAACAGTGTGAATGCATTAGTGGCAGTGAGTCACACAGTCAAAGATGGTTAAATGGTAAATTTTTTGTTATGTGCAAATTTGTCGTAAGCATTAAAAAACAGCAAGTAGGTAAAGTGCCCCCCATTTTATCAGAGTTCAATAAGTAGTAACAGCATTTACTAGGGTTAGGACCTTGTATTTTAGTGGTTGCAGGATATTTCGTGCTGTGGCTCTGCCATAGTTTGTTTCTTTTTGTTGGTTTGACTTTTGGATTTATTATAATACCCCACCATGGTAATGATGATGGAGTGAATTTTCTGTGTATGCATGTACTTTTTCCTTTGTTTGGAGTTATATGTTTGAGATGTATTTCCTGGATCGTTTAGGGCAAATTAATCTTAATCTCTGGGGCTTCTTCGACCGACACACGCCAGTGGGGTTTCGAGATGGTGTGGTGGTCAGTGACGTGCCACCCGCCGCGCCGGTGTCTCAGGTGCCTCATCGGCACAAGGTGTGCTTTTGAGAAGTTTTACAAAATCTAGTAAGTAAGAGATGGTGTTTCAACATGCATTTATTTCTGTTTATCACTAAAAATGTCAGCATTTTAACTCCTGATTTACATTTATATCTTCCGGTGCATATTGAATATTTACATCGTTTGCCTACTTCTAGTGCGGCTTTCTGTGCCTTCCTTACCTAATGTATGTGCCGTGTTGGTAACATATGGTTGCTGTTTTTGAATATTCAGAGGGTTTTTATTCTTATGTAGTTCAATCATTTCTTTAACCATTTCATAATACAAAATAGTAATATTTTAAAGTAGATCAAAAGTGGTTTTACAATAACATGATTATTATATTTAATGGATCTTCTTCCTATATAACTATTCTTTTCATACCTGTCAGCATCAAATCTGCTTAGATGTTTAACTGACATGACTGTGGCATTTGAATTAAAATTACGTAGGCTGACCAACTAAGAAGAAAATATTAATAACCCAAAATGAAAAGGACATTACAAAAATTAGAGCAAATAAGAAATTAAAATGATCAATAAACATGACTTTTTAAACTCACTAATACTTAAATTCATTGAAAATAAAACGATAGACTATTGTATGCTAGCTATAAGCTGGTAATGACTGAAGCCACTGTACCGGTGACTGAGACCGGCTCTCAGACATGCCGCCAGAGGGTGAGGAAATTGCCACTCTGATGTTCATATACGTTGACTTAGAAATGCTACTTATATAACTGTGGCTTGGGGCACAGAAATGTGAAAAATATTTACATTCATAGATAAATAGAGGATCCAGTCTCAGTGCCCAATGATAAGCAATGATTAAATAAGTAATAATAGTACAGTCCCCTTTGGTGTGTTATATAGTCACTATAAATGTATTTTTTAAAAATGTCAGTGTGTGGGGAAATACAATATGCAGGCACATGGGTAGAGCGTGAAGCAGTGGTTCCACCGAAACAGATGGTATGTGGCGGTGTGTGCACACGTGTACACATGTGCATGCGTGTGTGTATGTGTGTGTATCTGGTACAGGTCCAGAAATAGATGAGTAAAAGACATTGATAGTACTTACATGGTATAGGTGATTTTCATTTTTTTATACTTCTACACATTGTTTGAAAATTACTGTTTCTACAAGCAAAAATAAATTTAAATATTAAGAAAGATTAAAGATAATGAATAGATTTCTTTCCTTTTCTGGACTCATGTCCATTTTGCTATCTTTGCTTTTGTGTATCAGGGTTCTGGACTAGAAGTCAGAAGGTACTTTCTCCTGGTATTATTTATGGTACAGAAGTTTGTTAGCCGTATTACCTTGGGCAGATCTAACTTACACATTTCTCAGTCTTTCATTTGTGAAATGGGGGTTTCTACCTTCCCTGCTTATACCATAAGGTGGTTGTGAGAATTAAATGAGACCACCAACATATAGAAAACACTTTTGCAAACTGAGGTACAAATTCAAGGGATTCCTGAAACCAGTGTTGTTTGATAATTTCTTAGGACTTACAGAACTCACAGAGACCTGCTATTCTTACGGTTACAGTTTATTACAGGCAAAGGATACGGATCAAAGTCAACCAAAGTCTAAGTCGCACAGCACAAGGCTTCTGTGTCCTCTCTGCACAGTCAGTGTGTCATTTCCTGGCATCCCCATGTGACCGTGGGCAGAGAGCACTGTCAACCAGGAACCTCGTGCAAGCCTTGCTGTCCAGAGTCCTTACTGAGGCTTCATTACATAGCTGTGATCCATTGATTGACTGATTGACTGTCCATGGAGTTGAACTCCGTCTGCAGGGAAACTTACACTGACCCTGTCACATGGTCGGTCTTTCTGGCATAACCAGCCCTGACCTCACACACTGCTGGGGGTAGCCAACCCTACCCTAAGATGCAAAGTAACCAATCCCCATCATTAGACCATTGGCGTGGTCAGTCCCATTCTCAAGATGGTCGATCTTATCAAGTATAATATAGATTACCTTCCAGAGGCGAGGCAAAGGTCAGGTATCTCTTTAGGCAAGGCCGAGTTGTTTACTACATACAGGGTGATCAACGAGAAATGGAAAACATTTCCATTGTTAAATATAGAGCTGGTGTGTGTATGGAGTGGTCTGTGTTCAGCATGTTCTAACACTGGAAAATAAGGAAGGATGTGAACTCCATAGGTGTAAGTGGTACTGCAAACACCCACCTCACTGATCCACTGAATCTCAGAGGCCACCCTGGAGAATGGGCATGGGTGCTGGACGGTGACATCTGCCACAGCCACTGTTTACCACAGAGACACATGAGGCTAAGAAAGCACTAGCCACCCCACAGGGTGTATCGGCCTGACCATTGCTTCAGCGCTAACGGCACAGCAAATTGTCCCTCCGCGAACAAATTTATCTCATATGAACAAGGTAGAGAAGTCTGCGTTTTACAGGTCTCTCTGTCTGGTGCCGTCTCGCTCTGTGCCACAGCTGAGCTGACCACGAATGGCACAGTGTGGTGGTAAAAATAAATTGGCCCATTCCCCACTGCAGAGTTCAGTTCTCAAGCACTGTGGCAGGGTGTCTCCATAAGGTTTCATAAGGGTGAAACTGGGAAAATGAAAACCAGAGTTTGTTTTCACGTGAAATTTCAAAAAAAAAAAAATAGAGCACAATGAAGTCATCATCCTCAGGAAGCCTGCAAGATAACAACTGTGCGCTTTCAGGGACAAAGAACCAGGGACAGAGACTTAGAGCAAAACCATCAGCTGAAGTACAATTATGCTCCCACCCTTCCTTCAGAGGCAAGAATTTTAGCCTCGGTCTGGTGGGGTTTTTCCTGAAACAAATAGCTTGTAATAAATTGATGTTGTCAGTGAATTTTGGTTGTACATTCTGTTTCTTTCAAGGAAAAACTGGCCATGCGGAAGTAGTTCGAGTGGTGTACCAGCCAGAACGCATCAGCTTCGAGGAACTGCTCAAGGTCTTCTGGGAGAATCATGACCCGACCCAAGGTAGATGAGCGAGCCAGTATTTAATTATCTTACTAATTACAGCTGGGATAATTAGTGTTTGAGCTGCATGGAAGAGATGAACCTTGAAATCACACAGGAGCTCAAGAATATGATTGCAGACATTTATTGACGGAGACGAGGAGGGGCTGGGGGGGGAGGGTGAGAGAATAAAGGCACAGCCACCATTGGTGCCCCTCCCCCCCTTTACAGCTGTCAGGGGTGGGAAAATTCCCACAGAGAAAGACGCCAGACAATGGAGATCCGTTCACCTTTATTATTGCATTATGCCTCCTTAATGCAGTCTTTTGTCTACAAAATTAAAGTGTCTTTCTAGCGGCTTCAAAGTTTTCCTGATTTATGGTTCCTTTATTTCCCTGAATTTAGCCTTTTTCATCTTTTGACGTTATCAGTTTTTTTTAAATGTCTGTGGATGATTATAAAAAAGAAAAAGAACATAAAGGTAAAATACAGTGTTCAGTAGATCCACAGTGCTTGCGTTATTTAAATATTTCATTTGTTTTCTGTGAAATTTGTTATATGGAGATATTAATATATTTGGGCTATAAACAATGATGGCCAGAAATTTTATTTGAATGTATACACAAGCGAAAATCCCATGTTGGCAAATATCATTGTAATATTCAATAATGGAGCAATTTCCAGGTTTCATCCTACAGCCTTGCGAAGCACTGCATTGCTAGCGTGATGATCTGATATTATGAGGCTTATGAACTGAAAAGTCCTATATAATAGATGTGATTTTCACAAACCATATTCATTTAGCATTCAGTCTATTTAACAAAAATATTTCCCTTTAGTGTCAGGTTTTTGAGTAGTAGGGATGCCGTGTTGGCTGTTTCCTGATGAATGGATGTGTTTTTCCAAATGCACATGGTGCTTTGTAGTGGAACCTTAATATGATTCAGTAGCGCAGATTGGTGGATTCTGAGTCATGGTTCTGAGAACCTCCCAATGTCAGTGATTTGTCATAGGGCAAAGGTCAGAGCTGAGGCAAGTGTAGCAAAAGGATAAATGAGCCAGGGCAAGACTAGCCCAGGATCCAGGCAAATCCACCAGAGGGCGTGAAGGCCTAGGAAGGAGGCGGGAAACAGGTTTTCCATTCCACTGAAGTTTGGTTTGACATGGGGACGAATCCCTGGTCGGGGAGCAAGGAGGAATGGGACAAGGGCAGCAGAGGGCTGGTAGGGCAAGAATACAGTCCGTGTCACCCCAGTTTGGACCTCTAGACTACTGTCATATGTCATATGAGAATGACAGGCCTAATGCCTTAGACAGGCTTGACTCAGCAGGAAGCTCTGACTAGTGAGCATCATAAAGGTGATAGCCAGGAGCTCATGCTGGTAAACCTTGACCCAGATGGAGCAGCCATCCAGTCATGTGCCTCTCAAAGCCAATGGTTTGGGGCAGGTGCTGAGAGCTCCCAAATTCTCAGTGGAGACACATATCAGGAGCTGAGGTAAGCCTGAAGCCATGTGGGAGACAGGCTCCCCACAGGCCCACAAGGTTGGGTATCGGCCCTTTGGCCTTGCCAACCATAATGCCACGTTCTGCTAGAATCACCTTATGCTAAGCCCTGGTAAAATTTTGAAGAGGGTGAAGTCTGTCATCCACTTTTTTCTCCTTACTTCTCTTAACTTCTTACCCATTTTATCATATTTTTACCAGTACACCTCAGTTAACCAGATCACTAGTACTGGCCCCTGAATCTCAAGGGGATATTCTACCTTAAAAAAGAACTGTGAAAGAACTGCTTGGTCTTTCATTCCACATATCAAGTTTGTCTCAACTGTGCCTTAGTCCTTTTTGAAATTCTTGATGTGTTAATTTGCTAGGGCTGCAAGAACAGAATACCTAAGGCTGGTGGTTTAAACAACAGAAGCTTATTTTCTCACAGTTCTGGGGGCTGGAAGTCAGCAACGAAGGTGTCAGCAGGGTTAGTTTTACCTTGGCTTGTAGATGACTGTCTTTTCAGTCTTCACATGGTCTTCTCTGTGTGTGTTTCCGTGTTCTAATCTCCTATTATAACAGCACCGCTCAGAGTGAATTAGTTCCCACCCAAATAACCTCACTTAATCTTAGTCCTTAAAGACTTTGTCTCTAAATGAGGTTACATTCAGAGGTACTGGAGGTTAGGGCTTCAAATGACAAATTTGGGTCATAGGGAGACTCAGTTTAGCCCATAACACTGTCCAATCATGTATTAGATTGGCATACCATTCTTTCAGAAGTATTTTTATTCTAACTGGAGGTTCATGCACTGGAAAAGACTTTAGAGGTCATCTGGTTAAACTTTAGCTTCAATCCTATAAGCCAAAGATGAAATTGTTAATGGTGGGATTTAGCAACGATGGGATTTCATTGTTGAGGGACACTTTTTACACTGATATTTGGATAAATTATACATGAAGGAGGAGAGTTTCTCTGCCCTTGCATATATTTACTTAGAATGCTTCTCGATGCAATATGCGATATACACAGTTACACATATTAAATCACATATTTGATCTTCCCACACTATTATTAGAATTATGTTTTAGAATAGTTCAGTGTAATGGGCCTTGGTAACAATCCTTATCTGCCTTGCAAGGTTTTCCATGACCCTTCTGAGAGAAAAGCCAAATGATTGATCCCATGACCCAGGCATGGCCAATTACCATATCTTGTCCTGTTGTTAACAGCATTTGGTCCAAAGAACAGGCATGTGATCCAAGCAGAACCAGTTAGAATCCTTCCTTAGGACTCCTGCATGAGAAAAAAAAAAATGTTCTCACCTTGCTGGGGATTCCAGGGTAATGGCATACAATATGTGGACAGAGTCTGTCCAGAGCAGAAGCAAGGGAGGAAGATGAGCAGAGAGAGCCTCTGAGAGATGAGTGTTGGGAAGAGAGAAACTTCAGGAGACCCTGGGACCCTGAAACTTCATGTTCCTACAGCTCTTCCTTCAATTCCGGGACCTTTCCTTGTGCGTTCCAAGCAATGGGAGCTCCTGGGCACCCTCTTCTTTTATTTTTTTAACTTACACTAGTTTGTTGGGTTTCTATTATTTGCAGTAACAAAAGTCCTGAATAATCCCCTTATTCAGTTTAATCATTGTGCTCATTATATTCAGTAACTGTCAGTTTACCGTGTTCATTTGGTTCTGCAGATCAAGCCTAAAGCCATTTGGTCAGCAGTTGTACCATTGGCTCAGGCATAGAATAGAAGACATAAAAATAGTTTCTTCAAGACTGATTGTGGGTTTAATTAAAGGGTTTCTTGGGTTTACGATTTGGAATATATGGCTTGAGAACATATCATAATCCATATCCCCTCTCAATATTTGAACATCACTGTGAAAGACATTCAGTAACGACATTTGTCTCGTTTCTACCGTGTTAGCCAGGCACTCTGCTAAGTGGTGCTGAATCACTAAGAGGGCTGAGATAAGCAGCAGTATTCAACCTCTTGGTTAATGCACAGGGAAACTCCTCCTATGGGAAGAAAACAGTTTAATTCCAACAAACTGAGATCAAATGAGCATTCAGGTAAATGTATATAAAACCAAAGACCAAAATGTTAACATGAAATCATTAAAACAAGGATATGTTAAAACTGGGACATTGAAAATAAAAAAAACATAAGCTCAGAAGAACCCTGGTATCGGTGGATTCATCATTCCCAGGGAGCTCTGAAGTTCTAAAACATGTCAGCACCTGTACTCTTTCAGAGGCAAGAATCTGAAGCTCACAGCCTGAATGATGGGACGTGCAACAGAAGATAGCCGAACTGCATGTGAACTTGGCCATCTAACCACAGCTTCTCAATGCTCTACTTGAAGGCACATGGCAACTCTTGTCTTGTTTCCCAGTGAAAAGCGGCCCAGAAAAGAAAAGCACCCGATTGAGCAGACGTACAGAGGCATGTAAGATGCATTGCTCTTACTCAGAAAATGGACGTTTCAGAAGCAGCAAGCCCCTTGTTGGATTTGGTGGAGACTCTGGTCTATGAAGCAATAGCTCATGCTATGTTCTTTTTCAGAAGCAAGAGTGATTCCTAAAACTGCTTGAGGAGTACCCTTGCCTACATGAGAATTGCTTGTCATCAGAAAGACAAAACTTGAGTAAAAGTTGAGAAGGTATTGACCTTTGATGTGAACTTATGCCCAGGAAACACATGATTCTCCACAGAAATAGGACTCAAGAGAAATGTATTTTAATGAGCATGCTGAAAGACTTTAGCACCTTGTTTATAAAATCATTAGGGATTTGAAGGGGGCCCTTAAATTTTTTAGTTATAATTTACTTCATTTTGGGAGCAAGAAGCAATCTCCTAGAATGATATTTACAGACATGGGTTCTTGCTAATGTCAAGTGTCTACTGTCGAAGAAACAGCAAGAACTTGAGCTTAATTAAAGTCTGCTGTATTAAATCAGATCTTCATGGCACAGACTAGACAGAGAATATCCTGCATGTTTTCACTGCTTCAAGGCACTGAAAATAGCTCCCACCATATCCGTTCTGATGAGAAGAAAGTCTCCATGGTGTGCCCTTTGGAAGGGAGCACAGCTGGTAGGAGAGCTATTGGAAAGTGAGGGTGGGCTGGAGACATCTTATTCCTCAGCAGTATGCAGTCTGTCCTGAGGAGTGCCACTCAGTGGACCAGTGCCACATGAAGTAACAGACTTTCAGAAGAGCATCATTATACATTTGGCCAGTAAATGGAATCGTCTTTTCTCTTAATTTGCCAGTCACCACAAAACATGTACTTTTGCTGAAGCATTCAGGTACCACTGTTTAAGCTAATGCATCCTATTTGGTCTGTCTTTCCTATTTATGGGAGAAATAAAGTTCTTCCAGGCTTCTAAGGGTAGACCGGAGCATGCCCATTCCTGACTTGGTGGCCTTCACACTCCCCTGCTCTCCAGGCAACAGGGTAGAGTCTGAGATTTATATTTGGGTTCTGGCCCCAGCTGGACCTCTTCCCAACCTTGTGACCTTGG